CTTCTAGAAGTGCCTCCTCTTTGGGATGAAGTTTTCTGGCAAGCACAATGGTGAAACGAGCCTTGTAGTTTCCAATACTCTATCAGTTAGATGCTTACTGTAGGCACATGCCTGGTCAGAGAACTTCAGGAGGCACTGAACCTCAGAGACCTGTCTCCAAATCATTACCTCTGCCCTTCTTGTATCTGACTCCCTGCAGATAGTAATGAATTGATGAACTAGCTCTAGACCAAAAAGCCCTGGTGTAGTTACACTGGCCAGTAGAGCAAGAGAGTAAGTGGGAGCATAGTTCTAGTTACCGTTACTCCTATATGCCTGGACCCAAGCTCCAAGTAGCTCATGAAGCAGTACTCAATTCCTCTAACACTCCTGTGCAGGCACACAACCAGAACCTGCACTCCTGTGCAGGCACACAACTCTATTTCATAGAGGGATAAGGGATCTTTCGGAAAAGGCTTTATTTTCCGCAAGATCAGCGTCTAGACTGGTGCTTTTTTCCAGCAAAGCTCCGTGGCAGCCATTTTTATGCTAATGAAGTGGGGGAGATTTAAATCCCCGCTTCATTAGCAATTGCGATACATCTAATTTACATCCCTTTTACGAAAAAGGAATGTAGTATAGGCGTAGCCTTATTGCTTTTATCTCTATCAGCAGAAAAACAATTAAAACTTTATGTCTGTGTCTAGACTGGCTAGTTTTTCCGCAAAATCATCTGCTTTTGTGGAAAAACTTGCCAGCTGTCTACACTGGCCACTTGAAATTCTGGAAAAGCACTGACGATCTCATGTAAGATCGTCAGTGCTTTTCCGGAAAATACTATGCTGCTCCCATTCGGGCAAAAATCTTTTTCCAAAAAACTTTTGCAGAAAAGGGCCAGTGTAGACAGCACAGTAGTGTTTTGAGCAAAAAAGCCCCGATCACGAAAATGGCGATCGGGCCTTTTTTGCGGAAAACCGCGTCTAGATTGGCCACGGACGCTTTTACGCAAAAAGTGTTTTTGCGGAAAAGCATCCTGCCAATCTAGACATGCTTTTCCGAAAATGCTTTTAACTGAAAAGTTTTCCGTTAAAAGCATTTTCGGAAAATCATGCCAGTGTAGACGTAGCCTACATATATGGCATCTTTACCACAAATGATTATGTATTAAATGTGCACACTCTTCCCTTCCCTTAGCTAACTAAGCTAGTTCTTTCAGAAATGATATCTAGAAATTCTTTCTACATATCTACAGACTTGTTTATCTTGAAGACCGAACACAAGCTTCTCATGTGTGTCAGGCCCGGTCAGTGCAATAATTCATTCTTCAGCTCGAGACAGTGATTTGAAGGATAATGTTTCTGCTATCATTAATCCTATTTTAATTAGAATTGTGTCTAAAGACCAGCCCCCCTTATCTGAATTACCCTGTCTGTCTCTGTGTGTGGGTGCACGTGAGTAGAGGGTGTTAGATCCAAATCCAAAGTTTAGCTTGGGCTCATTTCTAATTTTTTTCATATGAATATGTTATCTGCTAATGCCTTACAATGCTTACCACCTAAGATGCTTAACTCTCCAGTGGGGATCTGATGGTATATCTTCACTGCACAGTTGGACACCTGCGGGTGAACAGAGCTCTTTGCAGAATTGGGACCTATGTGTAAAGAGATGTTTCTTTCTTTTTTTGGTTCAGACTTTGCTTTAAAATTTAAACTTTTTTTCCAGACTTGTGGTCTTCAATGAAAACTAAGATGTGGAACAGAGAATGATGTCCAGGGATAATAAACCTTCAAGAACTCATCAAATAGGAGAATATGATTTTAAAATAGGAGAATATGATACTAAATTTCAGATAACTAATGAAAGCTCAGTATTTTAGCAGAATTACTATATTCAACTTGAACATACAGAATCTTTAATCGCCTTTTCTTTCAAATTTGTTAAAACCTTGAATGCGCAAAGATAGGGTATAAGGCATTTTAAGCAATAGAACTTGGGGTAAATTGTGGATCCAGTGAAGTCATTATCAAAATGCCTACTGATTTTATAGGGACAATATTTCACAGTATTTTGTTGGTATTTTAGCATGAGAAGGCTGTATTTCTATTTGATGTCTGTGTATTCCATATACTTGATTTCCATTTGGCACAAGCTTATTTATTTTAATCTGAGCAATTCTTTATCCCTCTGATTCAAATGCCAGTTTGAATAGATAATATCTGTGGAAAAATTATTTAAATGGCATCTTGAGAGAAGATGGAATATTGGCGTAATTATTTGTCCTGATAAGGGTTTGACATATCCTTGATTGTCATTCAGACATCACATTCTTTCAAGAAACGCACATGATAGTTACCATCAGACAACATCTTGAAATATTTTTGAACTAAGACTAGTATTACTTCACACTGAAAGACATATATATATATTTATTTTTATTTACCCTAATCAAAACAATCTTTATTTCCAAAGCTCTGCTTTTAAGGCTTCTTTGTGTCCAACTCAACTTTCTCGACATCCCACCGGACTTGGGAAGTTTTCTTTTAAAAATATACCTGGATTGTGTGCCCTAACCTGCTTATAAATGAAATGCAGAAACAGCAGAATCCCTCTGCAGAAAGAATTCATGTACAACATCCACAACTTATTTCTACTGTTTAACCTCACACACATTGTTCTTATTTCCACTCTTCACAAGACATTTGCTCTTTTCACTGTTCCATACTTTAAGTAGATGAGGTTCATCTGTTTTGTTGATATTTTAAAATGTGGAATTCTCATATTAATGGTTATAAGATCATATGGGAATACTTTACACCATGTCTTTGTCACGATGCAGTATTACCTGGTATCATACAGAATGAGTTAACATGATATTAAATTACTCCTTTTTATGTCATTCATGTTTTAACTCTCTATAGGCTTTTGGTATTATACTATATTTATGAAGTGTGTAAATGTGTTACTGAAAAAGGCCTCTTAATGCAGTTTTGACCATTACGTAACAATATTTAAATCAACATATTTACTCTGAGGCACTTTAATTGAATCACACGAATATCTGAATCAGTAATTCAATTCACATTTTTAGAACACAGTTTGAAATAAAGAAAAAATTGGAAATTTAAGCAAGGGTCAACTGTTTTTTCTGTCTCTTTAAGGTAGACATCGGTAGGTTTGGAAATCCAGTTTGATCTATATCTGGAGCCATATCAGAGAGGTCTTGGAAGCCTAATTAAATGTAGAAAAGAAAACTGGTTGCTACCCGAGCGGTGTTAAAAAAATACCAGACTAAGCAGGAATCAGGAAGTTGGATGGAAGGCAGGTGGCTTGTGCCAGGAAGTAACTTCTGTAGAAGCGGGTGAAGGGCTGTTTTGTACAGAGTGCTTAGAAAGGAAGCTACTTGCAACTATCACTGCGCCAGACTTGGCAAAAATTCAGTTTAAACAACATATTTTTCCGGAGCCTAACAGAGTTTACAACACCTGGCTAACTCTTCTCTGACTTATTGTAGTCTCTTTTCTTCCATTTTCAAAAGGGCAAAGTAGCAGTGTGTGTCTGTATGCTAGCATGGCTCTTGATGTAGAGACACTGGAACATAAAAGACACAGCAAGAGAAAAGAGATTGAGCATAGGCAGGCCTAAATTGGCATATAGTTTATTTCATTCCTCACCGTTGTGTATCTGCAGGTGCAGTATCATTAGTAATGAGCCATTCATTCTGGGTTGACTGGCCACAGTCACCATTCAAAAAGATCACCATTGGTGTTACCACAGCTCCGTCCGCTAAGGTCACTTTCACCTGCCAGCAGCACTAATGCTTCATCTGCCAAGACTGCAGCTACCAGCAGCACTGCCATTGTCATTAATACCACTGTTGATGGTACTCATGATCCTTCTCATATCTGCTGGGTAATTAAGTGGCTTAACATCTACCCAGAGCTCAACCTGGGTGACTGTTGACAGTTCTCTGATCCTGAAAAATACACCAGCAGCTCTTAGTGATAGTGGGCTTGTGCACCGGTGGCACATTTGACCTCAACAGTGTGGCCCTATCAAAGACATGAAGTACTTGTGTAATAGTACAATACAACCATGACTTTTTGTGTATATTACACATCTGGCAGAGCAGATCCTAGCATGCTTGACTATTGGCAGATGTGCGTAACTGTAGTCAGTTGGATTTATTTGTATTTTGTCATTGGAGAATAGAGGTCCGGGTTTTCATTCTTTTTTCTACCACTGACTTGGTAGGTGACATTTGTCTGGTCACTTAGCCAGTCTGTGCCAGAGTTTCTTCATTCAGGGTGTTCAGAAGGTTAATTAAGCATTTCAAAATTCATTGAGATCCTCACATGGAAGTCACTTGGTAAGTCACAGCACTAATTGCTGAATAATGGAAAGATTTATGCATGGATAATTTGATGAACAAAATCCACAACAAATTATTTAATCATCTATAGCTCATTTTTGTTAGTTGTACAGGACCCTAATTACCTTAGTAGTGGCTACTTTGTCTATAAAAGTATTGGGCCCATACTAAGGTCTTTAAACACAGCCAGCTGTCTACACTGGCTGCTTGAATTTCCGCAAGAACACTGACGATCTCATGTGAGAAATCAGTGCTTCTTGAGGAAATACTGTGTTGCTCCCATTCGGGCAAAAGTCCTTTTGTGCAAAAGGGCCAGTGTTGACAGCTCAGATTTGTTTTGCCCAAAAAAGCCCCGATTGCGAAAATGACGATTGGAGCTTTTTTGTGCAAAAGCACGTCTAGATTGGCATGGATGCTTTTCCTCAAAAAGTGCTTTTGCGGAAAAGCGTCCATGCCAATCTAGATGCTCTTTTCCAAATGCTTTTAACGAAAAACTTTTCCGTTAAAAGCATTTGCGGAAAATCATGCCAGTCTAGACATAGCCATTGTGCTTAAAGTTAAGCTGCAGGTGAGAGGTTTGCATGTGGTCAGTGCTGTCAGTGTCCACTTAATCATGAAATGCTTTTGTGTTTTTTATTGTTGAGTATTTCAGGAAAAGCAGTGGAAGCTCCAAGTTCCATTACAAGTGTACGAGCAGAAGATACAGCTTTCTCAAATTCATCTTCTCGATAATTTGATAAGAAGGCTTTCAAGTTGTCAATCAGCAGAACAGCAGTGTCTACCATGATGTCCTCTGACTGCACTGCAATGCTAATTCATTCCAGATCAACAGAGAAGTTAAAAAAAATCCATATGCTGTATTTTGTTTGATGGTGCATTAGCCTCAGAACAAATTTTGCTATCTTTTTTGGTGTGCTCTAACTTTTCCAAAGCCTTAACAATGTCACCAAGCTGATATTGCAGCGTTCTAATGGAATCTAATTTAGCTTCCTACCTTGTCTCACTCAACGGCTTTAACATGATGTTAACAAATTCTTTTAAAATCTTCCAATGTTTGACCAAGGAAGAAAAGATTGTAAACAGCCTTGTACTGTACCAAAGAAATCAATGCACACTCTGTTTGAGGAAGCAGGATCACATAGCAGCAAGTTCAAACTATGGCTGCCACATGGTAAAAATAAGGTTCCGGGATTTTTATTAAGCATTACTGCCTGGATGCCATGATGAACTCCTTTCATGTTTGAGCCATTGTTATAACTTTGACCGCAACAATTTGTCAAATCAATCCCCAGCCCATCTAGAGCTTATTTTATTAGCATTACTGCTATCCTGTTCCACGCTGTATCACTGACATTTGTGAATCCAAGAAATGATTCTTCAATGTTTGTCTCTTTGTTGTCATCAATATTTATGTAACATATTATTACTGATGCTTGCTTCTGCTTTGAAATGTCAGGAGTGTAGTGTAGTTTCACCGCATAGTGTTTAGGTGCTTTGATCTGTTCACAAATGTTGTGAATAACATAATCTGTGATGGACTTCAGAAATTTATTTTGTGTGATTTTTTGAAGATGTTCAACCATCACATTATGGTATCTACTTAAGAGTTCTAATAGCCCTGTAGAATTTCAATTCCTTGAATTCCCCAATTGTGCATTTTTACCTCTTATTGCTGAATTCCTCTCTGCCAGGAACAACATGCAATACAAGAGTCCCGTCAGTACTTCTCTTCACCTCTCCCTCTCTACTTCAATAGCATTTTGCAGTAGACCATTACATACTTTTCCAGTTGTAGATGTGTGTCAGTTTCTTTCCAGGCAATATAGGGCAGTATGTGTTTTGTGTCATTGAATTACAGTTGAAAGAAATTGCCAGTTATTATATCCCTTAACTAAATGGCTTCATGTACATTTGCCACCCCTATACAGCATACGAAAAGCAGAATAGTTTTTTCATTTTTGGCGAATACATGAGCCAGTCACGTTCAACTTGTTTCCATTTCGCTAGCTGTCTAAAACAGTACACTTTGGGAAAATGTCTGTTATCCTTTTCTGTCTTAGGCAATGGGCTATTGGGACATTTTATACCCTCCCACCCCCCCATCAAGATGTGAAAAGTATCACTAATACTACTTGGGAAGGGCCATTCTGACAGATCTGTAACTCATTTTTTAACACTACTCACACTGAGGATATCAGACTCATTACTTAGTGCTCCTCACTTTTCTCACCCCTGCTGCTGATGTTAGCATCCTCGGCTTCGCTCACTTCACTGTCCGCGGTTGAATCCACAACAACTGGGATTCGCTCTCCCTGGGCCTCGATCTCCTCACATGCTGACTCCACCATACCACAAACGACTGCAGTGCTACAGGTACTGCCACCACAAGTGATATTTTGGTTTTTAGAGAATGTGTTAACCAATCAGTCATTTTCATTTTCATTTTTCTCCCACCCTCCCTTTTACTTTTGTTAAGTATGCATTTTTGGGCTCCAGGCAAGTTTTTCCTCAGCACATTCGTGGTTGAGAGTGCACTAGCAACGAGCACAAAATCCACTAGGAGACTATATTCTGATGATGTCCCTGCTCTGCAGTGACATACAGCAAAACAACTGTGATGTGATATGAAAAAAAATGGATCTTGGTAGGTGCAGTGCTACAATACCATCAGGTGTTAAGCCAAAGAAAGCACTTTCACATTTCGTACTTTCAAAAACATGATATTTTTCCTTAAATAAATTTCTTTTTATGTTGGGCATGGCTATTTTTAACTACCAGAATAATTTTCACTGAGGGTTTCACTTGTGAATCTGTTGATTTGGGCCTCCCTGTGGCAGTGGGCCAGCATGCATGGCATGTCCTTCTAGTACCCTAGTTGTGCTTTGCCCTCTGCCCACCTCCACAGCTGAGATTCAGTTATATGTTACCAATTAGACTTACTAGCAAGCTGCTCCTTATAGAACCCCTGCAGTTTAATTAGGGTTATTGCTGGACTGCAAGTACCCTGTCTGTAGCTGTTTCCTTCCACCCCTACAGCTCTGACAGATGCTGCAGGATCATCAGCTGATATAGAGCAATATTTTAACATGCAAAGATTTATACAAGATTCATTCACAATGCCCTGTGCAGCACAATCTGCTACCTGCCCTGCAGGACCAATGAAGGGACACGCCGCTCTTACCATGGCAGTAGTGCTCTTCCATGTATACCAAGGCCCGTGCAGGTGGGTGTGTGAGTTTCCTTTCTTCACCTCCCCACCTGCTGACTGGAGCTACAAATGCAGCCTCATGGCTGCGCGCCAACCATGATGCTGCAGTGGCAGCATGGGCTCCCCACTGAGTGGGGGGTGCGGGGTGGGAGGGTGAGCTCCCGCCACAGACCACCTGGGAGTCAGCTGCAGACCACTAGTGGTCCAGGGACCGCACGTTGAGAACCACTTCAATAAAGCAATGCGGGGTGGGGAAGGAGAATATGTCCAGTGTCCCAGAGCAGGTCTGATCACGTTGTGTAGGCATTTCTTCTGGTTCTGACTGAGGTGTATTAATAAGATATGCAGGGAACCTGATCTTCTGCTCTTTCACTTTGACTGTAGCACAAGCTTCTGCCTCTGTGGCAAACACATTCCAAAGGTCTGGTGCTTATAAATATCTGCCTTTACTAACTCTTTCTGGCTCCTGCTGCTCCCAATTTGGAGAGAAGTGGCAGAGAGACCAAGGTACTGGACTGGTCTCTCTGGGTCCAATGTATGGGGGAGGACAAAATGGATCCTTATCCCCACTCTTAGAAGTGGGATTTTCCAAAATTCAGTGCCTCTCAAATAGAATCATAGAATACTAGGACTGGAAGGGACCTCGAGAGATTGAGTCAAGTACCCTGCCCTCATGGCAGGACCAAGTACTGTCTAGACCATCCCTGATAGACATTTCTCTAGCCTACTCTTAAATATCTCCAGAGATAGATTCCACTACCTCCCTGGGCAATTTATTCCAGTGTTTGACTACCCTGACAGTTAGGAACTTTTTCCTAATGTCCAACCTAAACCTCCCTTGCTGCAGTTTAAGCCCATTGCTTCTTGTTCTATCCTCAGAGGCCAAAATGAACAAGTTTTCTCCCTTCTCCTTATGACACCCTTTTAGATACCTGAAAATGGCTATCATGTCCCGTTCCCCCCCAGTCTTCTCTTTTCTAAACTAAATAAACCCAATTCTTTCAGCCTTCTTTCATAGGTCATGTTCTCTAGACCTTTAATCATTCTTGTTGCTCTTCTCTGAACCTTCTCCAATTTCTCTACATCTTTCTTGAAATGCAGTGCCCAGAACTGTACACAATACTCATATATGGTATGTTCACTGTACCAATTCCCATCCCCCCATATTCTCCCTATATTTGTTTGTCATCCCATGTAGTCTCATCCGTTTCTTTCCATCCTATTTTTCCACTGGATTTCCCCCCTTTCTGTTCCTTTCCCTCTTCCAACAATCTAAAAGAGGAATGCAATCCCAAAAGCATGAAGTTTGAGTCCAGTTATCAAGTTCTTATTGTTTTGGTGGGTTTTGAATCAGGTAGAATGAGTTTGTTCATCCCTAATTTTATATTAGATTTATTTTTATAGAGAGAAGGAATGCTGACCAACATGATGCCATACAATTCTTAATTTCCATTCATACAGTTGCCAGTTACTGAATGTAAGGACCGTAGTTTAAGATCTCATTTGAAGATGTCTGTTTTGCAAGTGGATATTTCCATTTCATTTTTGCACTTTAGTGGAGCAACTAGTATGAACTCAACTCCTTTGCAGTACCAAGGCAGTACATATAAGAATACAATCATAGTTCTCCAGAAAGTAAATTTAGTACCTAAAATTAAAACATCTGGTGAATAATTTATGATTGTGTATATTGAAAGTTTCTAAATGTTGAAGTAATAATCATGTAACTGGATATAGATTGGGCGTTCCCATTAATTACATCTGTTTAAAGTCAAATATTACTTGTACATTTCAAGATTTTTCTTTTAATGAGGCAATAACATTTTAGGCAGAATGGGTCATGAAATTTTAGTAGTGAACTGCCCAGCAGCATCAATGGAAAATTGAAATCACAGTCTGTAATATAGATGAAGCATCACTTGACTTGCTCCACTAGAAAAAATGATTATGATTATTCAGTAATTTGTTAACATTACAGGATGAAGGTGGCATCACAGTCTGTCTGGGGCCCAATTAGATTTTCACTTCTATGGACTCTCAAGGCCTGAAAAAAGCCTGCTAATTTTTAAAGGCGAGTTAATTTTGTACATAAACCCTTTGAAAACTAACTAATTCTCTTCTGATTGACACCTCTGGACTTACCAACATTCAGGATTTGCTGGTGGCTCATTTGGCTATTGGGCTCCAGATGGGAGTTTGGGCTCCAGGTTACTGGAAAGCAGAACAGACTGGGACTCTTGGGACAAGTGAGTCTATGCCTTCTGCATTTTTTCCCAGGCTGACTGCTCAATATGATCATGCTTCTGCGGATTCCTCACCCCTTCCATAAGCTACATCCTGCATTTGCAAAACAAGGGTGGGACATGGGGAAAAACAGTGTAGCTCTTACACTGGGGTGATGATCAGAAGTATAGAACCTGTGCTGTCAGCTAAGAGAAGATAGTAGTTTTTTGCCCCATGGGTATAACCATTGCATAAGTGAGTTGAGGAGTATTTGTTCTCATTTAAACTTTTGTTTTGGCTGTACATGTACCCATGAACTTTGGTGATATGAGAGAGAGGGGGAAAATGAAAGACTCCTTTCCTTTACATGTTGAAGCCTCTGTCAGATACTTTTTTGTCCCACCAGTACCATATATAATACATTTAGTCAGGTCCTCTCAAGCATTGTTGCCTGCAAAGCATCCCATGGGGTGAAGTACCAGCTGCTGTAGTCACCACTCCTCTCCTGAAGAAGTTGTTAAAGGAAATCTAAGAGATGCCATCTCTTTCCCATCTCTTCCTTTCCTGGACAATGGAGCAAACCCTAGAAGCAGTAGGAAAAGACTCAGAAAGCAGTAACCTGGAGGGAAAAATGGAGATTAGTGTGAGATTGGTGGAATTACCAGGAGAAATAATGGTGAATGAAGAAGTCTGAAATTTGAATGAGTGACAAAATTGAGGGGGAGGGAGGGCTAGATCAGGAGTTTTTTGGGTATGTGACCAAGAATTTGAGGGAACATATATAAGTGTGAGTATGTCTATTTTGAAGGACATCAGAAAGGACATGGAATGGGAAAAAATTAAAAAGGAGAAAGGATGAAGGAATTAACTGTGGAGAAGACAAAGGAAAGAGAGATTTAAAAAATGAATGGAAGGAAATCTTAAAAGGTGACATTGTGAAGACTAGAATG